GAGGGAGAAAACTAAGGCTTATTTCTACTTTAACTCGTTCTTCTTTAACTTCTCTTCCAGTACGTATCGATAATACGAGATACTGATTTTTTAATCTTGAATTTTGAGGAGAGCGTAGAAATAACAGAATTAACTAAAAAAATATTTTGATTTAATTATTTAATTTAATTAATTTAATCTGTATAAGATGAAAAAGTAAGATCCGTTTATCGACATTGATTAGCTCTGACTAATATTTTATGATTAAAGAAAATAAATTTTGTTAAAGATTTTTTTTCATATTTTATTTGTTAAGGTTTCAAGAAATTGACTGATTATTATAGACACAGTATCTAATGTCAAAGGAATTCTTGGAAAGGAATTTGTTGAAAGAAATCTTGAATATATCTTAAACTCAATCAGTTTATCGATAGTCCTTAGAGATTGTTCGAGATGATGACAAATATATAACGATTTTACGCGAATATATTACTTTCTGATGTAATACCACTCTTATTACACGTACCATAGAATCTGGGTCGTTTCGCTCTGGAAGCAGCCGGTCGATCGCGTTATCGGTTTACTCGATGCACTCTTATATTTTTTTGCTCTCTTCCTCTTGATCTTATGTAAACAACGACAGCGAAAGCGCAAGGTATTTTATTAAAGTGGTAAAAAAAAAAGATGACAGAAATTTTTAAAAATGTATTGATTTTTATTGTACCATTTATAACCATTGGAATTTATATTATGTTATTATTATCATTTTTATATTAATTATGTGATTATATAATGTGTCTTCTATTCTCTGTTCGTAATTAATAGTAAAAAAAGTTAGAGATGCCAGTTTTTTTTTCAAAAGTATATATTAGGAAGAAGTATGTTTTATTTTACATATATTTGGATTTTTTGTAGGTATGTATATATATATAACTCATTAATGAAATAATTAAAAATAGTAATATATAAAAATTCAAGAACTCGATTTTCAAGATATACGATAGCGGTTTAATAATCGCTTATAAAACAGCATAAACATTATTGGGGTTGAAAGAGCAGCTTTCACATTCTCGTTGATAGATTCTATTTTTCGACGACCTCGTTATCGAAAATAAGAAAATCAAGGAATTTTTTATAGATACGCAGCGTTTCCGCTCATTCTTTACACTATTACGAGAATAATAATTACGTATTACATATTCCGATATTTATCGGTTATCTTGTTATTTCACAGTTTAGTACGCGTGCAGATTTATCCGCGTGATGAATCTGACGAATTAACGTTAACGCTATAAATGTTAATATAATTAATTCTGTATTACGCACCACTATTTATCAGAAATACATGCGACAATTATACAATTATTGCGCCATATTATGGCGCAATAATTGTATAATTGTCGCATGTATTTCTGATCAAATTATACAATTATACAGTTACATATATTATAACTGTTACATTATAATTTATGTACATATTATAATTTAAAGATATGTATATAAATAACAATTGTAATAAACAATATATATATGTATATATATATATATATATAATGATATATATATATATATATATATATATATATAATGATATATATATATATATATATATATATATATATCATTATTTTATTAATATCAAAATTGTAGATAATAAAATAATATCTGTTATTTTTGAAATTTTTATTATATGAGATTCTTATATAAGAAAATTTAAAATATTTTATTTGAGACACATATAATGAAGCTTGTATATTTAAATAATCTAAGTTTAATCGAAGTTTAATTTTTTTGTACTACAAATCTTTTGTTTTTATTTATCTCACGAATGTGATAACATCAGTGCAAATCGATCGATAAATTTAATAAAACGCATCGCAAATAATGTTGGGACATTTATTTTATTCGGCGAGTTTTATGACATCTTTACGCGAGTTAAGATGCTAATAAAGATTGTAACAGTAGCATTCATTCAACGTCAGATTTTTGCAAGGCAATAAAGAGAGAGAACTTCGCGTACTAATTATATCCATCGTGACAGATCGTCATCCTTTGTCCCATTAAGCGCTGCGATTAGCCTCGTTTCGCAAAATGCGACCGCTTTAACGACCTTGCTTGCAAAACATGCAATTATTTTATCGCTCATTACGATTCATACGTATCATTCACTGCAGTACATTAATTAGAACAGAACTTTTAGCAAAATAAATATATCATTATTTTTAATGGAATAAAATAAGAAATAATAGAATTATTTTTTATTACTATATTTTTTGAAAAAAAATGTATAAAGAAGAAAATTATATATTTAAACAAGATATAGAATTTTTATAGAATTCTTTGGTGTAGATAATGATGTAATTTTATATTATATTACCATACATAATTAATTTTATATTCTAAATGTTTATTTATTTTATTAACTTTATATGCTGGCAACAATAAAATACGGTAAATATTTGCATTTGTTTATTCTCTTTTGTAATCAATTTTTGTTTTATTAAAATTTAAGTAAAAAATAGTGTACTCGAATTCTTCGTTTAATTTGATGTTCGGAAAAGTGAAAGTGTTTATAATGTTATTAAAGTTTCATTTTCCTTCTTTTATTTTATCTTTTTTTCTTCTTAAAATAACTCGGACACATTTTTCAAATAATTCGATTCGGTCGAGTAATAAGCAATCTACATTGATTAGAAACTGCGAAAAAAAGCGTCAAACCACATTCCATGAGTTAAAATGAAAACAGCAATGTTATACATATATATGTATGACTACAGTGTTGTAGAAAGTTTATTTTATTGCTTAGATAGATTGCAGAATGTAATAAAAGATGTGATCGGAAAGATTAATCGACATAAAGAAAAATAAGACAATCTTTCACGAAGGAAAAAGTATATCGAATGCATTTTATGCTAATACTTCGATGTACAAAGAGTTTTATTCAATCTAATTTTATCTATGATCTCTTTAAGAAACTTTTTTATCTATAAAATTCTCTTTTAAGGAAATTTAAGAATTGGAAAGTTTTTAATTCAAATGTTAGTAATTGATGATTTTTAAATTATAAATCATCGAAAATAAACTTTTTTTTAGATTTTAAACTTTTAAAATATAAACACAGATATGGAATAAAAAACAAATTTAATTTTTGAAGTAAAATACACTTTGACAAACTTTATAATTTTGAAGTAATTATTTGTGAAATAATTATGATGTTTATTTTATTGATACAAAAATAAATTTTTTGGAAACAAGTTTAATTAATCTGTAAATTTTATTTTTATTTATAAAAGTATTTATTATTTATTCAAAAAACTGACAATTTTTAATAAATAATGATTTTCTTAAGGACTATTTTATTGAAAAAATAAATAACTCTAATTAGTCGGAGAATTTGATTCATGAAGAATGATTCCTTGGAGCACCCCATATAATGTGACGTAATGCAATTGCCAATCGAAATGTAATAAAGTGCATTTCATAACCCGTTCGTTATTTGACCGTGCTATTAATAAAGGCTTAAACATCTTATATAGGATGAATGTAGGATGAAAGAAAAATTTAAATTGTACAGTTTCAATCTGCTATCAGTATTCATAAAATAATATGGATACTTTAACATTTGATTAGCATTCTTTTTATTATGAATCATTTTTTATTGAATTTTATGATATAAAATTGAATGAAGAAAATTATTATATAAAGATAGAAAATTGAATAGTAATACATTATTCGTCTAAGAACAGAAGCGAATATGTCAGATTCGAAATTCGATTTCCCACATATCACATGAGTATTACGTAAGCAACACATATATTTCTCGGTTGTGTTTGATTATGTGAGAAATCGATCGTAGCCGCGTCTGTGAAAAACGGCACATGTGTCGAGGAATCGAATCGAATGCATAATCATTGGAGCGTGACTTTTCGAGAGCGTTTTATGCACCCAGAGTGTAGATTAATATCTCTCTTTCTCTCGTAGAAAAGATACTTCAGATATCTTATGTTTTGCATCCTACTTGCTTCACGTTTAGTGGATGTGGCAATAATTGCCTCGACAGATAACTGCTTTCTCGAAAATCTTTGTTCTGTCAGTCTCAGATCGCAATTCAGAATCTTTCGCTCACATACAATGATGAAAGATTTGATAGAATGAGAAATGTTGAAGTAGAGAGAGATATATACTAGTAGAAATCGGCTATTAGTATAAGAGACTATGAGATCTCTGTTTATCTATAAATTAAAATATAATACATAATATATAATGGAATAAAATATAAATATGTAATAAAGTATAATAAAAAATTTTAATGAGAAAATTTAGATTGAGATTTATATTTAATAAATATAAATATTTTATATCTTATATTCTATATTCTCTTTTGAAAATAACGAGTCAATATTAGGTTTTACTTGTATTACGAATTAAATTATAAATTAAAACCATTGTGTAAGGTGATATTATCTCCGGATAATTTTATAACTGTATATTGTATATATTATTCTGAAATAAAATTGCGGAATAAAAAATTCCAGAACAGAAAGTTTTAATATACTTTTTTAATTGTTTTAATACGTAAGATATGGTTTCTCCCTTATTAGTAAAGTTTTATAATAATAAAAAAAAATAAGACTTTACACGTTTTTCATCCTTTTTGCACAAATATATATGTATCAAATAAAATTTTATTTTAAAACTTTTTTCATAAAAAAATAAATGTATAAGTCTTCAGTTATATATATATATATATTTTTTTATATTTTATTTTATATTTTATTAACGGAAAGATAAAAAGAAAACAAAAGAGAAGAATAATAATAAAGATAGCTAGAGGAGAATAAATTCTAATAAACCTCTAAATACATAATATCATAATATGCATAGATATTTTATAATTATACAATTATAATTATACAAAACAATAATGCGACAACCGATCAAAAATTTATCAATATATCAATATATATATAATATAGTTTATATATTTAAAAAATATAACAATACTTTTTATAAATGCAGAGTTTAAAATATAATGAAACAAAAAGTAAATTTTTTTCAGGACACCTTTTATCGAATAACTTTATCGACAGAGTTTTATATAGTACACGGTTTTATATAAGTAAATAAATAAATAAATAAGTATATAACGAAATTAATAAATCCACGTCCAGGCTATTATATCGACTATCCTATTTTATGTCTCGTTGTCATCGTCCTTTTCGCTTGATTCCGTTGCCGCCTCTGTTGGCCATTTTCCCGCGGTCGCGGCTGGCTCTACAGTAGTGGTAACAATAGCTTTGTTCATGATATTAATAGCGATAGTCGGATCCGTGATTACGATGGGTCCGAGAGGCTCCGCAGTCTGTTCCTCTTCTTTCGGAGGTTTCGGCTTCGTGTCCTCGCTTGAAGTTTCTTCGATACTCGGCTTATCCGCGAGATCTTGCATTTCTTGCGATAATCCTACGGTGGTATTAAGCATCGGTGGTAGTAATTCCAGGGATGGCACCATAGTTTTTATCTGACATTGCCGACCCATGTAGCCCAGAGGACAAATACACCTGCAGAAAACGAATATCGGAGACACTTCTTCTAATATTATTTATTTGATATTATTCATATCAATATTCAATTTTAATAATTAATGTGTTAATATATTAATATTAATATATGATAGTATATTTTATATGTGATACTTATTATTAATATTAGTAGCTGAAGGAAAATGTCATCACGTTTACCCTCATTACCCTACGGATTGCAATAATTATTTGTCCTTTTGTTTTCGGCTATATGATAAAATCGAATCTCTCCTGCGCTATAATCTTACCTGTAATCGCCGTCTTCATGAGTCATGCTAATACAGGTAGCGCCACTTTGACAAATATCGGAATGCTCGTCGCAATAGGTGAGCTTCTCGGTGCATAGATCTCCGGCCCAACCTGGCTTGCATCGGCATTCCCAAGGCCGTTTGCAAGATCCGTGCACGCATCCTGGGTATCTCACGCATTCGGTACAATTGGGCCCCGACCAGCCGACGCGGCATCTGCATGTCCCTGGTCGCCTACAACCACCATGTTCCCGGCTGCATCCTTGTGAGCAGATCGCTAGTAGAAATAGCATATTATTATCGTATATTATCAGTATATGATATGATATTATAATATTATAAATTTTTAATATATTATACAATATGTTATATAATAAAAAGTTATAATATTAGTTGTAGGAAATGTGATTTAAATGATTAGATTTTTACCGAGTAAAAATTTCTTATTGTTAGATATATATTTTTTTCTTCTTATCGTTAGATATATATTTGTTTAATTATTATTATCAGTCTTTTAAATAATTTTATATATATATTTTGATATTAATTTGCAATTAATTCTCTCTCTTTTATTATTAACTTATTAACTTTATAAAATTTATTATTACTTTATTAACTTTATAAAAATAAGCATAAATGCAATGTTTTTATCTATCTATTCTATCGAAAAGTTTTGAATAGTGAATATTTATTTTTAGCGATTCGAGAAAAGATTTTTGGTTAACAAAGTAGAGTTTTCTCTTTTGAAGATAAATCTCGTATATATATATAACTCACTGTATGTTTTTTTTAAATGTTTTTCAAAGTCGGTCAACGAAGGATTCTGTGTACTTAAAAGAAGGATTCCGTTTCAGTTTTTTCTACGCAAGTAGAACAAAAATACGATTCTCGTTGATAGTCACGTTGCCGTCTATATTGGTAAAGGCCCCTCTGTTTGTTCTTGCGTCGTGTGTCTCGAGAATAAACTTACGTGTTTGACAAAGCAATCCGGTCCAACCTGGATCGCATCGACACTCCAAAGGTCCTTGACAGGTTCCGTGGACGCAGCCCGGTAATACCGCGCACTGTTTGCACTTGGGGCCCTGCCAACCTAAACGACATCTGAAAAGAAGAACACGTCAAGTTTTGATTTCTCTTTTTCTGACATATATCTATGCCAATAAAATCTGAGTGATTATGTTATATTTATTTTTTCAAAGAATATATTTTTTATTTATTTTTCATGTAATAATATTATGCTTATTTTTATGTTTTATAATATTATTTTTTGATAATTTATTAATCAATAAATTTTTTTAGAAATTTATTTTCTAACAATTTTATTAATTTTTTAATTAATATAGATATTTGCCAATGAAAGAAAAAAAATCTTACTTATAGTTGAAATGGCAAATATAATAATGAAAATCATTAAATATCAGCTAAGTTAAAAATTATCTTTACGAAATATATTTTGATTTTAATAGTAAATAATGAATTAATTTCTGAATAAGAAAGTTTTTCGGCAAATAATTACAAAAATAAGAAGTATGCACATAAATAAATAAATAAATAAATAAATAAATATATATATATATATATATATATATACATGAATATGTAATAAAATATAATAAGATTAATTACCTGCATTCGCCGGGTCTCTCGCAATAACCCTGACTGGACAGACAATCGGGCGCACAAACGGGTTCGGAACAAAACATGCCCTTCCAACCAGGATCGCAGGAGCACTCGAAGCTCACGTTACATCTAAAAGCGAAAATCACGACGTCAAGTGCCTGTCTATCTATCGATCGGAATCGATTAACAGTCACGAGAGACCATTCTAAGCAAGGAAGCGTTTCGTGTTACACGGAAATTATGCTCGCTCGTTTACCCAAGGTGAAAGCAAAGCGAAACTGATACGGATTGTTGTTATTCAAGCGGCATTCAATTTATGTATATGTGTGTGCAATACAATAAATCGCACATTATAATCATGTGAATATTTTCTATTATCAAATTATTATTATTGATCGAATGAATATATAGGAAAATCGATGAAGAGTCAGCCAATATTTTTTATGCTTTTCTGAATTTGGGGAACACATTTAAGAGCAATTAAATTTAGTAAAATATTGATCAAAGAATCGAATCTTTAATCTATATATATATCTAATCTAAATTTAAATAATACCTGATTTTGCATAAAATTTGAAAGTTACATATATACTCTTTGAGAGAAAATTAATGTCGTATCTCACCGAAAAAAGTTATAAAAAATAAAACAGCAGAAGAACATGAAAAAATAAAATAAAAAAATTAATATTGTTATATTAACTTTTACATAATAAAAATTTATTTATTTATTTATATCCTAACCAATAAGAGTTTTATAATAATCATGCACAATTGGATTTACTAAATTAAATTTAATATAAATTTAATATAATATAAATTTTATTTTATTTTATTTTAATTTAAGATAACTAATGTTTGTAGTAGAAAAACTCTCTGTTAATAGTATACAATTAAATTTATGTAATATAAAATAATTTTATAATATAAATTTAAAGTTATATACATAAAAGAAAATTGTATAAAAGAAAATTGTATATGTATATATACTATAAAGTATACATAATACATCTTTTTTTTATTTGTTAAAGAGCATTTCAATTTTTTGCAAGATTATTTCATAATTCATTTTGATAAAAAATTTGTTCACGTGTTAAATTATACTTTCTCTTCATCGCAGTGTTGCATATTAATTGATTAATTATACCTTCCGTGTTGACACCCTGGCAAGGCTACGCATTTGTCGCATAGTTCGCCATAGAAACCCAGTTTACAACGACATTCACCTGGTCTTCGGCAATAGCCTTGAAGGGGATCGCAACCCTTGCGACAAATCGGTACATCACACAGATCTCCAGTCCATCCTAAATAAATATTTTGTCAAAATATTACATATATTAGTGTAAATAATATATATTAATTATCTTTAATTTTTCTAACACTTTTATTTAAGATATCTTTTATTTTACTATTAATTAGTTTTTTTATTCTTATCATTAATTGATCTAATTTTATTTGTGCGCGCATTTAATAATTAATATGATATTATAAAAAATTTAGTTTATGACTATATAATTATTTTTTTATACATACCTGGCAAGCATTTTACTTCACCAGCTTCGTCGCAAATATAATGCGAATTTGGGTGTTGGGATGCCGGTATTTCGCACGCTTGCTTTTTCCATTTTGGAACATATCTAGATAATTAAATATAATAAAAATATATATTATATTAATGAAGATAGAAATATAAGTAATAAGGTAAATAAATAAACATAAATAATTATAATTTATGTTTCTGTTAATACGAGGAAGTAGTGACACAAATACCTACTGATTAGTCATCAATACATATGTAGAAGTTGCGAACCGCGTCATTGCTAACCGCGAATATTTTTTCATAAATTCTTCGAGTTCTAATTGCGTGATATATGAAATAAATTAATTCATATATGCAAAATAATAATTCGAGAAATGTTACGTGTGAATGTGCTCAGATGAAAAATTTAATTATCATTATACCAAGGAAAACGACTGAGAATACTTCAAATATATGTTGAGATTAATTGATTGAAAGGATTGTCGTCCATTTATGTGAATGTATGAATTTGACTTAAAAATTATTAATATTTAAAGCATATTTGAAGATAATAAAATATCGAGTAACTCGAAAATGAGAAAGAGAGGATTAAAAAAATGAAATATAATAAAGTTTAATAGTATAATCAAAGCAGATAATTTTAAATAATAACATAATATTTAATTAAAAAGTGGAAATTTAGAAATTTATAACTAAAATTATTCCATTACTGAAAAAAATTTTTTTTTCAATACTTACAAAGTTTTTGATAATTTAGATTATATAGATTTCTTGATTTTAATAATATAATAATTATTAAAGTTTCATTATTATAATTAAACAATTTTATAAGAAATAATTTTATAATAAATTTTATAAAATTAAAAAAGATTAGAAAACTTAAAAAAATTATAAATTTATTCTTATCAAAAAAGTTGAAAGTATATTATTTTAGATATATTAAGATTATTATTTTAGATTATTTTAAATATTTTGTAATCTATAAAAATATAATAAATTGACTTAATAATTAAAAATAACAAATATATATTTAAATTTATATATATATATATATTTCACATTTTGCAATTTATGGACAGCATAATTTATTATAAATATACATGTATAAGTTAATTTTTTCATACTGTCAAAATTATAATTTTATAAAGAACTTGTGAGAAATAATAAAAAACGAAAGAAGATTAAATTTTTTAAAAATAATATCTGAAATATAAAAATAACTCATTATCATTGACTTTCAACATCTATGTTAATCTCTAGTCGTGATTTACCTGGGGCCAGCAGCGAATCCGATGGGCAGCACAGAAGCTCCTATGACCGCGGCAATCGTAATTAGTCCATTGTTTACGTCCGATTGTGCGAGTTGATGAGGAAAGTTGATAAGGAAGGTAGTGAAGAACAGTGGTATCAGCATTTTGGCTTGACTTCTCAGTCAAGACTGGAAGGATGAAGACGTTCAAGGCGATGCCTAGAATAACGGGACCTTGTTCGAGGTCACGGCACACTTTTCACTATGTGCGTATATACGTGTAAGTGCGTGAGTACGTACATTCGCCTGGTATAACTCTGGTTTTTCCGTCGACTCACTACGAGTTCGTCATTCGAGTTCAATGCACTTTGTGAACAAGATGAAAGAGAAGGATGAAGAAAGTAGAAAGAGAGCGAGGATCTTTCTCGAGAAGAATTATTTCAATTATCTTTAAAAATCTTTGAGAAAAGCCTTTCCTTTAAGATCTTTTTCAGATCCTTTTCAGGTAGCTACAAAAAGTCCTTTGTTCGTCGAGTTTTTTCTGATCCATAAAAAAACTCTATTGTTGCGTTTTTGACGAACTATTTTAAAATAAAATTACAATAAAATATTTAAAATACAATACTTAAAAAAATTTGTATGCAATATTACAGTACATATAATATTAATAACATTATAAAAAATATTATACATAATAAATAAAACAAAAGCATAAAATTTTATAATTTATTTTGCGAAATACTATACAAGTATACAAATATACAAGATTGTAACTATGTATTTACAAATAAATACTTAGAGCTCGGCCCTGCTGTCAATTTTCGGCGATAGGAACTCTTGAAATTCAGTCTATTCGTTACATTACATTGAGCTAGAACGGCATTGTTCATTGTGTTCATCATATATATATATATATATATATATATATATATATATATATATATATATACATATTCTTCATTATGTAAAAATATTCGAGAATCTGTAAAATTTTTCTCTTTCCTTCTTTTTTTTTCTTTCGATTCATATCATTACTATTTTTATTCGCTATACATATATCTATACTACTAATTGTAAGCTTTCATTTGTACATTTCATCTATCAACATTCTTTGTTTCTTATATATGATTATCGAGAATTTTTACTATGAAACAATTTACAATAGTACTCTTATCAATAATATCCGCAGTATTTTACAACTTAAAAAAATATTCGTGCATCTCGTGCCTTTTTTAAAATAATTTTATCGGAGGAAAAGGAATGTTCCTATAAAGTGTAACATTACTATATAAAAATGCATTCTGATTAAATTGTTTTATGGTATTTCTCTCTTGTGCAAAAAATGAGCGAATATTTCTTTTCTGCTTATATTTTATATAGAATTTACAATTTTTGAAGTTTTTTTAGATAGTTTTTTAGATATTTTAGAATTTTTTAGGACATGCGAATCACTAATTATCTTTACTCGCCTCACTAGTTCTGAAGATAAAAGGAACCTTCATTATCGCATTTTTTTAAATATAAGTAATATATACACATGGAGAGAGAGAGAAATGTCTGATGAGAGAAATGAAGATGCCTCGTCCGCTTTATGATAAAGAGAAATATTCATTTATATATCTTTCATATTTTTCATGCTGTCCCAAGCGGAAGACAGCACTTTCTCATGAGAGGAAGCAAAATCCCTGAGATGTCCTCACCGAGTTGGGCGAGAAAATTCTTAGCAGAATTTTCTACGTCTGCTGAATCACATTCGTGGTCGCGTTTTGCGTATTTGCGGTCACATCTTGGATATTCGCGTTAACATCTTGCGCGTCAACGTTCACATTTTCTACGTTCGCATTTTGCATATTTGCATTCGCATTTATGTCTATTTCTATCCACAATTTGTTATATTCGTTTATATTATTTAAATAACTATTCGTAGAGCAATCACTATCTCTTTGATCTGACTCATGCTTGAAGCACAATATTGTATTCAATTTATTAGATTTCATCTCCGCTTCCGTCGGGTATATCATCTTTATATTGTTTTCCATCGCTATTTTCTGTCGCTTGATCTTTAGTCTTTTCCATGTTGATTTAATAAATAAAAACGATAGTGGTATTAAAATGAACGATAGAATAATCAATGTCATATAACATTCTTGCTTCAGAGGCAAGAATTTTGTTGTAATAGTTTCGTCAGTGTCGATAAGGATCGAGTAGCTACCGGGACCGTCATTGGTGGCTATTCTGACCAAATATCTGCCACGTAGCAAAGAAATTTGCGCTGATTCGCTATCTGCTACCTAAAAATATGAGATCAAATTTAATTTTTTTGTATACTCACAAATCTAAGTTATATTCGATAATTTTTGTACATGTGTATTTTATACATATGTATAATTTATATATATATATATATATATATATATATATATATCTAAATCACTATTCAAAATACTATTATTGAATTATTGTTTTATTCTATTTAATTAATCTAATTAATTTATTCTTTTTAATTAAGTTTACAATAAAATGGTAATATATTTTTGATTCTCTGGATTCAACTGCTACTCAAAAGAAACTACGATTTTTCTAGAATTACGAAAAAAATGAAAATAAGAATAATGATCGGAAGATCATTGTCCTGTAAGATATTCGTAAATAATTCGAGTCTGCTTGTAAATATTGTCTCTCGAATAGAATGAAAAAGAAAAATCGAAATTATGCCAACGTATGTAATAAATCTTGCCTGGTTGCCCATGATGCCATTCCCAGTTTCTTCTTGCCAAGTGACGATATACAATGGTTTGATCGTTTTGTGTTTTCTATTTCGAAGTTCCATGAAGATCTTATCCCCAGGTAATATAATTTCATCGCGTTGCTTTTCTAGTTGGTCTTGCCAATCCATCCACGTAATATTAGCTTGATACAAAGGACCGTTTTTCTTATAGATAGACTGTAATGTAGGCAGCCACTTTTCCCAACTGTAATTATTATTAATAGCGATTTTATAATGCAGATAAATGTAAGAAGATTTAAGAAAATGTGCAAAAATTTAATTAAATTTAAACATTTTGATATTTTTATATATTTTAATATTTTTATAAAATATTCTTCTTTGAGATATTTACATTATTTCTTCACGTTTTAATCTATTGAATGTTATAATAATGTTTTAGATATGTATCTCGATTATAAAATCTATTTTGTATCTGGGATTTTTTAAATTTTTATTTGATGTCATTTGCTATGAACCTTTTTATGATGAAAAAAAACAATAATATACCTATAATGTTTGATAGCTCCATTCTCATTGGTGATGATAATCCATTTGCCCGGGCTCATTTCAACTTTTTTATTCTCAGTGTAATGTTGTTGCATTTTCCATATTCCTTCTAGATTTTTGTACATTGTTATAGCCATGTCGTGTTTATTCATGCGGATAATTTCATCCTTTTCGGGTGCCGGTAATTTGATAGGCTCATATTGACCTTCATCTATTCCATGTGTTCGATAAAATGTACAAGCAATTTCGCAACTTGAGCACTAACATAAGAGAAAAACACATTACGCATTATATTTATATCATATATAATGTAGCATAGTTTATATGGATTGTAATAATTAAAATTTAAAAATTTTTTTAAATTATATTAAACAATAATAATTTAATTTTTATTAAACAATAATCTAATTTCTTTTTTTAATTATTTTTAATTAAATATTAAATATACTTAATATTTTCACAGTTATATATTATGTATTTTATAGTTGAATATTTTTATAGTTAAATATTTTACTATATTTAAACTATTTAACTTTATTTAAATTTTATTCATTATGATCGAAAAATCTAATATATTTTTTGCAACGAATTAAAGTTGGGAAAAGTCTCTTTCTTGTCTAAATATTTGAGAGAAATGATTTTTATTTTGATGCTAGCATTTTCTGTGCAATTCTGGATCTTTTGTGAAAAAAGACAGGTAACATTTTCAAGGGTTTGTAATCTACTCTAAACTATTGTTGTGACGAGATCATTTCTTTTCTGCGAAATCGAAAGTTATTCCCGAGTGACAGTTGAGATTTTCCTTGTACTTGATCTACTAACACTTTCAATTCTTGTCTCAACAAGGGACTAAATAATATTGATCTGCCTGCACATTAAAAAAAGATTCGAAAATTTGAGATTACAATCATAGACGACTTAAAACTTTGCACAAATCTATCTTTAAAAAAATTATGACAAAAAATGTATTAATTGTGAAAACATTGTGTATGAGAAACAATTTTAAAATATGTATTTCTCAATATTAAGATATATTATACGATATATCAAAATATATTATAACTAACATTATCATTAAAATACATATAATTAATATATAAATATGAATATAAAAGTAGATAAAAAAATATAAATAAAATAATATATAATTAAAATAATAAAATAATATATAAAATAATATATAATTGTCAAAAATATTAAACAAAATATATTACATGAATATATATTATATCTAGTGCTATTTAATTAATAAGAATACTAGTCATGTGACAAATGTTTTACCTGTCGAGATGCTCGAGATCGTCGAAATGCTCGAAATTGTTTCGAAAGTAATGATAAGAAGTGAAAACTGGCCACTCGACGAAATTTTGGCTAAATTAAAAAATCAAGTTTAAAAGAATTGAAATTGTGTGAAAACAAGAATATTATATCGAAGAATATTATATATATTAAAACAAGAATATAATATGTGTATAATTTATCTTGATTTCACTTATCTTTTTGATCAATATCTTTTTATGCAAAACAGTTTGGTTTGAAAGAGAAACAAAGAAAGACAGAGAGAGAGAGAGATGCAAGAATAAAATATTATTTTATCTTTACTTACATTAAAATAAATGTTCCTGTTGCAGTAATTGAGCCTTTGTTCGTTATTAAAAAGACCAAGGAATTCGCAGGTTTGCCAGCACTGTAAAAATAAGCATAAAAAGAACTGTAAAAATAAACATGAAAATTTAGCTTCTAACTTTAAAACAGAATTGCTCGAATATACATATTTTTTTCGAACTCTTTAATTTTTAATCTTTTCTAAGATTTAAATATTTATATTTGTAAATTCTCAGACTTTTAAAAATAAATTCTTTTAAGTTTTTAAATTTTTAAGAATTTATTTTTCGAGAGACTCTAAAAAGAGCCAGACGGAGCCAAAGAGATTCAGCGTGGAACAAAAACTTCTCATACCGCATGAGTCGCACGAGAAGAAAGAGGACTTATACTAGAAAGAAGAGGGCGGAAGAGAGGAGGGGCAAAAGGAAAGAAAGAAGCTTGATGTAGAAGGGAAAGGTAGAATAAAAAAACGTTGAATCGAGCGATTTAAGGAGGAAAGAAAAAGCGAGGGAAGAGGCAGAGGACGAAACATTGCGAGAAAGGTAGAAAAAGGGGGACAGGGGAGCTGAATTAGCTCCAACCTGTTCCGGACGCACAACAGGCACCTTCGTTGTTGTTGTCTTCATATTTATTGGGGTACCGACTCTCGAGTGGGCTCGTCCTGTTCCTAAATTCTTTTTCTCTTTTTTCCTCTCCGTTTATCTCTTTCTTTCCCTCTTTTTTCTCTTTCTCTCTTTTGATTCCCGATTACCCTTCTCCGCATACCCTTGCTAAGACCGATTCTTTGCTTCGTAGAAGCGAAGGATCTATTGGGTCCTTACTAATGACATTTCCCGAAAATCGCGTTGGGATCGGTTGGCAGGTTCAGAAAAAATTCGAGAATTTCTTAAAGAATATACGTTTTCACTTGTAAAATTTATAGATTATAGATTGATTTGTTTACAATATCATTTTGTATTATGAATTTGAAGTAAAATAATATAAACATTTGACAAAAAGAATTATATTTATAAATAATTGAAGGTGATGAATATATCTCTTAATTGATAAAAGATAAGAACGTAGTATATCTAAAGTATTAAGTAAACGAAATTAGAAAAATAGATATAATGAAAAATACATGCGGTAAGTTCTTGCTTTTTTGTTTTTTCAACGTTGTAAATAGTTAAGATTGAGACTACGATCTAAACTCTGTCAATCATGATCAAGTTTGAATTATCGAGTTATGATTAAATCATAAAATAAACAGTGCTGTGACACTTCAATCTAAAAATCAATGATTCGTCTGTCTGGCGATAGTAGACTAGTAAAGTGAAATAAGTGGAGAGGAGAAGCCTCAGTTGGATAAAAGTTCGATATATCTTTCGGAAAAGAACGAGAATTTAATAGCATAGAATCAGAACAACGAGAAAAAGTTAGGAAAAGAAAATGATGATTAAGAAAAAATATTTAAAATAAATATTTTCCTAAAATAAGATGTATCTCTATTAAGAAAATATTAGAAAAAAATGTATAATTTTAAAATTATTATTTATTATTTATTTTCTTATATACATACATATATATATATATATATATATATATATATATAATAAGAGAATAATAAATGTATGTGTATATATATATATATATATATATATATATATATAATAATATGTATATGATATAATAAATGATATATAAATGATATAATAAATGATATATAAATATAAAAAAGATACAAATACAAACATAAAAATATATATATATATATATATATATTTTTATGTTTGTATTTGTATCTTTTTTATATTTATATATCATTTATTATCTCTACTCATTTATTTACTCTTATTATTTACTCTTATTTTATGCTATATTTTCAAAAATGTGCGCTTATTATTATTTATATTATATAAATAACGTTATTAAATTATAATATACATATTTTAATTAATTTGTCTTAATTAAGTAAAAATTAATTTATCAAAAATTTAACATATCACTTTTAAAAAATTTATTATTTTCCACTTCTCCCGATATCATCACATGCGTACGCGTGCGTTTAAATTTATATTAACTATGATATATTAATAATAATTTATTTTGATGGAGAGGAAGAGTCTTTTCTCTCGAAATGATTTTCCTCCTAGAATTAAGACAATCACAAAGTCAAGTCGCGAAAAGGCCTCTTTTCTTTTCAAAGTGCCATTATCGTGCATGAGTCGTCTCTTCTTTTCTATGAAGAGAGAGGGAGAGCGAGGGACGATGATCAACTGTATAGCATTTGTTAAGAACTATTTCCGCCCCCTCGGCGTTATTCTAATGTCATGTTTTCTCTCTTCCTCCCTCGGGATACATTCGTCACAGGGGTCGGCGCATAAATTTGAATGTACGGCCCTCTAGTTCTTGCGGGACATGGAATCGACGGATCTCTCGAAATTAATGGACACCCCTAGCAGACCCCCCGTAGTATCAAATGAGCAACGCCCTCGCTCGCGCACGTTTGCGTTGTTGGACGATCCCGACCCCCTTTAATCGTGATTCTCATCTGTATGAATTGAGGAGGTGGCGACCACACCTGGTGGTTTTCTATAGTATCCTGTCCTAGTAAAATCTCCCTTCGACATCCAAAAATTTATCGATTCTCTATTCGATTTCCGGTTATGATCGGTGTCCTTTTTGACCGCGTGCAGAAAATTCACATGCAATTTTATTGCGGAGTTTTTTTTTTAATATTTTAAGGTAATATAGAGAATATTTAAATAAATTTAGCTTTCTAAAAAATTTTGAATTTTTAACGTAGTATTTTGTAGGAATTTATGTTATAATATTAGAAAAAGTTTTGAAATCAAACAATTGTATGGAAATAATTTTCGCGCAATTATATATTAGTTTTTCACATAGTGGAAATTTGGAGCTTTACTTTATAGAAAATAATTATAAAATATTTAAAAATATCAAAAAATTAAAAAATTTTTTTCCATTTACACACGCAGAAAATAGAAATATAATTTTTTCAAATTATTTATTAATTAATTTTGTTTGTTATGATTATTTAATTTTTAATTTTTAATTTTTAATTGATACTAATTCAAAATTTAGCCGAAACGAAGGAATTATGCTAATATATTGCGAATTTATGGGTTTTTTCAGAATATTTAATATATAAAACTTGAAGTACACACACATATAAACTTCACAAATAAATTTTACTTCAACTTATTAAATTTGTAAAATAGATACAAATTATTTACAGCTTTTCTATCGATAAATTGTAAAAATATAATATCTCGGTATACTTTAATTTTCAGTTTTTAGAAGCAAAGAATAAAGGAAACATATTATTCAGATTATTTTTTAAATTACTTTAGATACTATATAATTATATGACTAAACTAGAAATAAGAAACGTTGCACGTGTGTATTTTTTTTTAATTTTCGCCTAAACGATTATCACATGCGTCATCATTTTCATGTCGAAAATACATCGCAAACTCATTAAAACTTTTAGCATATAAGACAGAAGCACTATGATAAGTTTTACCTTTTCGCATTGTATGTTTTTACTTCTCCCTACATTCCAGCAATTGTCGTCAGTGGTAAAATTTCGCAGACACGCTGATTGACATTGTGCGGTCTTGATGATCTTGTCGAGATTCAAGCCTGCTATCCAGGGCAGAGTCACACCAAATAATAACAGAAGATAGTACACAGTTTTCATTTTGGAGAATCAGAGTCTCGTTCTCCGCACTTTTCTCACTTTATAATATTAATTGTTGTATGCACGAGTAACTTTTTTTTTCTCAATTATAACACTAACAATTTGCAATCGAATCGCGATCGTATGAATGTGCCCGTGAGGCATAAAGACTACGAACGTAGATTTCACGGACGGAATTTCGGGCGCGACTGCGGCCCTTCGGGATTCGGAACCCTCCTTATATAGCCGTGCGTCCCCCACTACGTGTTCCCCGGATTTTTGTGAATCTTTACCCTCACTGTTAAAAGCATCCCTTGTAATTATATGTCGTTCTATATATCGTCATATGGTCTGCCCTTCAGGTTTTATTTCTGACCGAATTATTCGATCTATATGAAATTAAGTATGAAAGGAGATTAGTTTGTGGAAGAAATCGCGATACAGCACGCACACAAATCTACAATTTAGATTAAAATATTTTTTCAAAAGATATTTTTTTTAGTTGAATAACAAGTAATTTTATAAATAACGGTCTGCAGATATAAATGTGAGTATAAATATAAATATAAATTGTAATAATACTGAATATATAAAATTATTACATATTTATATAATAAGATGTGATTAAATAAATAATAAATAAATAATAATAATTGAAAAGATAAATTTCTAATGAGTTGATCAAGTGGCTTAGAAAATTAAAAAATGAATTAATAGTTATTACAAATGGTAGAAAAAATTAGTTATTATTCGATATAATTAATGTAGAATTATAAATATATGAAATAATAACTAATGATTTTATATGATTGATTACATTGATTTTGAAATCGTGATTGATTAATTATACATTATACACGGTTATTTATTTCGATAATTTTTCCTCGAAAGCAATTTCTCCTAACGGTTTCCCGATATAACAACAATACGAAAGAAAGAATCAATGGAAGGTCATTAATTTTCTAAATAATCAAATTTTGTTTTCCTTAGTCGTTTATAATCCAAAATATACTGCGCACAATGTGAAATCAGCTTATTATAAAAACAGAAAGAAAGAGAGAGAAGAATGAAAAAGAGAAAAAAATATTTTAAGATTATTTTAAGATTGCGTGCATATTCTATAAATGCATAAAAAGGCCAATCAGAATTTTAATTATTATTAAATTTTACACTGTCACAAAAGAAGAAGCAAAACCACAAAACGATTTCACGAATGGCTACGGACGAAATTTAATTTGTCCTGCGAGCAGAGTCAATTTCAATCCGTGTTTAAGCGTCGCCAAATGACCAGTTTTTTTTTATTGCGGTAGAAAAGTGGTTAGCCGAAAGTAAGATGGCATTTTGGACCATATGCCGCTCGGAAATTTTGCGTTGTGGACCATATGAACCACGGACAATTACGATGGGCCTCAAAAAGTGCGGTCGTAATGCGAGAGTGTAGCAAAACGTTCGTTACATTATCGAGATACTCTGTATAACTTGTCTCGTTTCCTCGAATGAGTGTATTAGATCGATAAACCGTCAAATTTTCTTTAACAAAAAAAATATTATTTGTGAAAAAAGTTTTTTAATTTTATACGTTTTGATTTCTTATGCGATCGTGCTCACGAAACTTACTTAAGCGAGACACAGTCAGACGTCTCGCCAGTAATCGGATTTTATCATGATCCTAAGAATATATAGACGGAGTGTAAAGTCGATTTACAAGAGAGGGGGTTGTGAAATTTGCCGTAAGGGGAATGATGTCGTTCTCCTCTTTTATTCTTTTGTCGTCTCTTTCTATAACACCATTGCGAAACATCGAGTATACTACGAAAATACCCGATCATGATGGGTATAGAAAGACAGCATTAGATCCCTCCCCTTACCGCAGATTTCACCCCTAGTCGACTTTACACTCCGTCCATATATTCTTAGGTGCATGGATTTTATACTTTCATTGTAGAGAACTGCTGTATAGAAAAAAAATACGGAGTTCTAACGAGAATACTTGAACAGAAAAAATGTGCTGCAGATCAAATGATCGATCCACCCATCGAAGCTTGATATTACTTTAAAAAATATGTCACGTGTTTTTCCTCCCCCTCATCCGGCAGATACCGTTTCACTTATTCTCGGTATCGAGGAAGAAAAATAAAGGATGTGAAGTACGGAGGGAGATGAAACAGGGAGGGCAAATAGGGATGGGTCTTACTCTGTCGTCCGCCGGAAGTCGGGGCCTGGGTGCCCCGCACTACGTCACAATACACAGGATGTGTACAAATAAGGGTATTTGTCCTCCGCGACTGATTGTGGGGTGAAATATACGTGACGTTAGAAACGCGAGAGAACGCAATAGGACGAGGATGAGGAGGGGTGCAGAGGAAAGGTTACTACATCCCTCGCTTGTGCTTGGGCGCAATATAGAGAAAATAGGGATCTCGATCCATTCATCTAGGCGGCATAGTTTAGGGATGGTGTTCACGGATCGCGGAGGCTGCCTCAACGGATGCGAGAGAATAATATTTCATTGTGTGCCGTACTTTTCTCACATCTGGACCAACCCAGCTTAACTTCGCTTCGCTTCGTTCGATAAGCGCGTTCGAAGTATTACGTAATATTTTAGCATTTAATTCGCTCCGATGTAAGTGCTTTAAACATTAGTATATATAAAATAAAATAAAGTAAAACAAAACACTTATGTCATTAAAACTTATCAACGTATCAACTTCTAGCGTTGTATAAAAACGTGATAATAGATATTAAATAGATAGATAATAGATAGATAAAAAATAGATTAGCAAAAATTTTACAGTTTTTAATCTATTACATTCGCTTTTTCATTATATCAATTTTTTTTAAATTATTTTTATATTTCTAACTATTTTTAAATTGTTTTATCTCTTTTGTATCTTTTGAATTGTTTATAACTATTTTATATCTTTATAACTACTTTTTATCATTTTTTTATGTCTATAACTATTTTTTATAACTTTTTATAACTTTTTATAACTTTTTTATAACTTTTTTATAACTTTTATCTTTATCTCTTTTATATCTTTTGAATTGTTTATATCTTCATTCTCAGAAAAAAATCTGAAAATATTCATAGGTCTGAAAAAACTATTTTTTTTTAATTTAACGTAGAATAAAGTTGTTTTGAAATTATGGAATATTTGGCACAAAACAATCAATTAAATTTTCTTATTTTATTCTAATACTCTTTTCTTCTATTCGCATTTTTATCACTTATCAGCGTTCTATTTTTTGTTTTCTCGTAAAATAGCTTTGTTAGCATCTCTCGTTTTTTTTACGATGTATAAGACTTTCGATGCAAGTATCCATTTTCTGAGTCGAAGATTTTTATCTTCTTTGTAGGTGCAAGATGCTTTTCTAGGATCCGATAATCTTAGTTGCATATATTCCTCCCCACCGACGTACTTGTCTCGCTTTTCACGAAAGAATAGTTATCGCATTGTCATATCTCGACTCATTTTTACGAGTTCTGTTTCTTGCGTGCTCTGATTGTGTATCGATTCTGTAAATGCGGAAAGGAAAAAGGGAAAGAACACGAGGGATAACAAAGGTCCCGCGATTTTCTGTGAGATTGCGTCCGTTTCTCAGAACTTACTGTCAGAACGACATCTCGTTCTGCGGGAGATGAGAGCCTCGTTGCCGATCGAGATTTAGATTCTATCTGCGACTCGTATTTTATCGCGGTCGTTTTTTTTCCGCATGCATTCTGTTTCATACGAAAAGTATTTCGACATTATGTCGTAAAGTTGAAAAATATTCGCTACAAATATTTTGAGGAGCGCGAGAAAGTTTAGAGAGAAACATTTACTTTGAAAGAAAACTCAATCCATTATATACCAAAGTTAAAATGCAACATTCTGCGTCTTTGGAATGCGGTTTTCTAAGTCAATGTTTAATACGAATTATACGATAAAAATCTTTGAAAATATTAAAAATATTTCATGAGGCGATTTTGAAGGAAAATTAAAAAAAATGATCAGTTTATATTATTTTTAATTTACAATATAATATAAATTACGCAATTAATGTCAATTGATAAAACATTTCCTAAGAAAATCTTAACATGTTAAATTGTTTACTGGAAAAGAATTTACGATTTGTTTTTCCATCTGATTTGCGGTCTGTCATTCTTAAAAATCGATTAATCTTCCGCAAATTTTTCATATTTGCTTGGAGGAGTATTTCGGACGAAACATGTTTCTCATCATTTACCGAATGATTCGAAAGACTGGTCGCCGACCAAGAAGACTAACAAAGCGGAAAATGCCGACCGCCATCGAAAGCGACGGCTAAGGTTTTGAAAGGCAGTTTTCGCGTCAAATGTGGCGGCGACAAATTTTCATTGTAACCACGTTGCTTCCCCTCGTTTCTCGCGTTTGTGCCGCGAAGCGGAATAAGCAGCAACACAGACATTTCTTTTAAACGACAGGTGATGGTAGAAGTCGCTATTGAGGGGATTCGGGATCTCATCTCCTTCCCGGGGGAGGAAAATACTAGCAGAGACCGGCATAGCTATACATATACATCTGACAAATTCTTGAAAGGCAGAATTTATAGCCAGTCCGACTACCGGAGGGTCATCTCCGGGTCAAAACGCGGTGACTGGAGAGTCTACGACTTTGTTCAGCGAGAAAATGGACTTTCTGCCTTTCTTCACGCAGCTTCTATTTCTTCGTGCATTTTATTCTAAATGCGCTATATTATGGTATATTACTGCAGGCAGTGATGTTATTCAGTTTTAGAAGTTTTCACGTTCAAGGTTGTATTGACACACGTTTTTTCTGACTTAAGGGAAAAGAAGACAGATATTGCCAGTTTTTGATTCCCCGAATTTGATAGAATAAATGTTAAGATATATTAAAGATTCGATATCATTATTTTGAATGTCATTATTTTGAATTATCTTGTGTACTATTATCTTTTCTCTTTTAAAATATAGGAAAAAAAAGGTTTTTAAAAATATGATAAATATTAAATTAATGATAAATTAATAATATGATTGATAAATTATTATACAATTTTAACACGTACAATTCAATAATTTATTAATATATAATATAATAATATATAATATATAATAGTTCATTGATTTAATTATTTAATTAATATTATAATTAAAGATATAAGATTTTAGCTGAGATAAAAAATCCATCCAAAGAAGAAATCAATCAAGATTGTATTTT